AAAAATGTTTGATCAAAAGAAACCCTCAATAGTATGCTGTTGGACAGATGCTAAAATTGTGTTTCCTGGATTAAGGGTACCAGCATCTGCTAAAATTGTTAACAATATTTGAAACAATATTAACAATAACAATATAACAATGTTGTTAACAATATTAGAAAGTTAACACAGCTGAGAGACTGGTTCTATTGTCCAAAGAAAGATAATCCAGCAGATATTCTGTCCTGTGATGTTCGAACTGATGTTCTTGTGAACAGTTCCATTTTGTGATTTTCTAACACGTCTCAAGATTCCACAACAGGCCTTGCCAATGGAGCTTGTTGAGGAAGTTTGTCCAAACAAGCTTAAAAAGGACAATGAACAGCATAACAATTCTGACTTAAGTGCATGTAGTGAACTAAACTTTTTAATAATATTCTTAATTTGTCTGTTGATTATTCTAAATTAATATTAATTTGTATTTAAGTTTCATTTTCAGATTTATCCATATCAATTGTAAGAATCCCATAATTGTAAGTACTATCTTTAAAATGGACAAAAACAGCTGAGGTCGGGATTTTATTCGAGGCCTTCCAAAAAATGAGTTCAGAGAGGAAATAAAACAACTAAAAAGGGGTTGTAGAGTTATTAGGTTGTTTTGAAGTGGGTGAGGTGAAAAATTTTCAAAGCCCTTACTGCAACTTGAACTATGGACTTCTCCAATGCTCACTGAGTATGCTTCCAGTTATACTACGAAGGCATGAAGGCATGCAGAAAGGAGGGAGACAATAACTTATAGGGTAAGTCTGTTCATTCCAAAAGTAAACTAGTGTCCCCGAATGTCCTTCTTGATAACATGGGACTAATTAGAGTGGTGGACAATTGTCTTATTCGATTCTTTCAAAAGCCAGACATTTAGACTTCGTAACAGTCCAAACTAGCCAATCTAGTATTGCAAGCTTGAAGTGTTTCTTCTCAAGAAATGGAAAATGTGCTAGAATATTGAGTGATAATTCTAAAATTTTTATTGGAACTGATGTAGAGTTAAAAAAATTGCAAAAATTGATTGAGTGTCCAAATGAGAATGTAGTGAATTTTTGTACTAATGAAGGAATTTCATTCTGCTCGGGTAACAAAATTTCAGCAGAATTTGGGAAGCCAGTGTTAAATCATGTAAGTCATTTGAAAAGAATTGTTGTTATATACTGTTTAACTTTGGAAGAATTCTTAACTGTTCTAACAGAAGAACTCTCAGTCCGGTTTCAGCCAACTACAGCCACAGATCAGTTTTTAGATAGACCTCTCACAACTCTAACTGAACTAGATTTATCTAATGTACGTGAAAACAGACTTTCTAAATAGCAAAGAATTACTAAGTACACACAGCAAATCTGGAAATGAGATTATTTTAAAAATTTACCAGAACGTTACAAGTGGAAACTTTTAAAAGAAGACAAGCAACTAGAAGCTTTTGTTGGAACTCATGGTAGGAATAACAGGGTAAAGAATAGTAATTGTATGACTGCCTAATCAAAATTTGGTAAAATGAAATGGTTGAGATATTTATCTCCTTCTTGTAGAATGATTTTGTATATCTCTACTGTAAACACTTGTTTCTAAAATTTGAGTAGTTGTTAGCTGGTAATTGCTGAAAATTTTTGCTGTAATAATTTAAGTGTATCTTCTTCAGTGTTATAATGTCGTATTATTAATATTTTATTGTAGTGCAGTTATATTCACATTCTTTGTAATAATAGTTTTGAAACTGTTAATTTTAACAGTTGGAAGTATAAGGAAATAATAGGAGAATACAGTCACCAGTTTTATCTTAGTTAGAGGAGAACTTTGCTGAGCAAGCAAGTTAGTTGCAAGTGTCACTGAATTCTGAATGAAAAAACTGTTTTTTATTATTATTATTATTATTATTATTATTTCTGATACATATCATTTGAGTTTTATTATGGTATTTGCATCGAACATGTGCCAATGATTTGATAACTCATCATGTGATATTCTTTTACTTTCTTTTTGTGTATGTAATTGTAATTGAACATTGAGAATAGGGCCAGTTGAATATTGAGAATAGGGCCTGAGTGCCACTATGGTGAAAGTAAACCTATTCAACCAAAATTCAAGAGTAATTATATTATTTCTATGATGTTTATGAGTGTATTTATTGACAGAATTTATTCAATAAAGAGTCCATAGTGCCTTTGGGGATTTGCTTCGAATAAGTGCCTGTAATCCTCCATAACAGCCAGACATGGAGCTGCATCAGTGCAGACACCAACACACTTAGTCCGGTTCAAATTATTTTCAGATATTAATGTATCAAGAATCTCGAACAGGTCCTGAGCCTTGGCTTCAGCAGTGATGTTTTGACAAAACAGAAGGGCGTCTTTAATATTATTACAGTACGAAGTCTGAAATCCGGACGTCCGATATCAGGACCTCAAAATCATTAACAAAGTTTTTCTCCTAGGTTTTACGCATGTGCATTTAATTCCCCCCTCCGCGCACAATAAAACAGCTGTAGAGTCCTGATTCTTAATTTCACTTTGACACTGAATAAAATACCTTGTTACTGAAGAAACAATCATTTTGTACGATCAGTAATTTGGCACCCTTGTATGTGTATCTGCTTGGCATACGTCTTAAACCTAAACATTCCAAATAGATACATTGTTGATCTGACGCCAACCTGGCGAATCATTTATTATACTTTCCTTTCATCACCGCATCTTTATCAACACATGACAACTTGAGTAATGACTCATGTAGCAATACCTAAACAATTTTTTTATGTTACTAATTGAATAATAAAGGAGTATGGTAACCTTTTATGTTGACATTACGCTTGGCAATTTATACAGATTTAAGTTAAATGTGCTAAAAAATTTTGACGAGAAAAAATTTCTTTTCATATGCTAAAAATAGATTTTGTTGATGCTACTCATACACCCAAAGATTACATTTAGTGCTATTTGAATTAAGAATAACTGACTTTGTTATTCACATAAACACGGAAGCAGCACCAGGGTGCTGCTTCCGTGTTTGGCTGCACCGGGTCATAGAATTTAGGACCCACAGAGTCCCTCGCCATCAGGCGGTAACATATCTAGCACCGGCCTTCAATAAGTCTTAGGTGTATGTACGAATTTATTTATTATTATTATTTAACTCTGATAAGCCTTAAGCATGCACAAGAAATAGACATGAATATAATAAATAACTAATACAATTCAGGCAGAGCACGACAGAAGCAAGATAAAATTTAGCGGAACAACGTGTCTTTAGTCACCAATGTCATGATACATAGCCAAACATGTATACTGAATGACAGCTAAATTTTATGATGATAGCCGCAAATTTTAAAGGTTTTTGGATATTGCAAACCAAAGGTGAAATTTTCCAATTAATGGATTTTGTAAAGAAATGTGGAGAAGCGGTAATAAATGAAGATGATATAAAAGAAGTTTTTCATTGTGATGACAGTGCTTCTCAATCATCAATCAATTAATGAATGACAAAATCTGGTTCTAGATCCAAAAAATATCGCTACCAGTAGTGAAGAAAGTGACAGAGAAGCTACTGAAAACGAAAAAAATTTTGATTGACAAGTTAGTCGGAATTCTTGACACAGCAGTTACAGTACTTCAACAATGTAACTAAACAAGAGATTATATCTGTCTACAGTATTAAGGAGAAAGTATTAGCACAAGAAACGAATCAACTTAAACAACTTACATTGAAAGAAATGTCTAATAAGGTAAACAAATAAGTATTAAGCTTTTTTTTGTAAATTTTGATACCCTTTAGATCATAAATCCATCATTATTTCATAAATCACGATTTCATATTTTTTAGTTTTATAATTTCTGCCTGCCCTCTTACTAGATTTAAACTGATGATCTAATATTGGAAAAAATTCCAAATCCGGAATCGTCGAAGTCTCGAAGTCCAGATTTCGGACTTTGTACCGTACCATCTATAAACCATACATAGCATATAAAATGAGCATCCTTATTTTTATTATATTTGGACTTATCTAGCCACAATCCAAAATCTACTCCTTTAATTTTTTTCAATTAATTGATGGTTGATATCTCCTCCTACATGTTGTGTTCTCCGACTAATTCTGTTATTGGATAAAATCACTTTTACAAGCAGCTTCCCAGCAAACTCACCAATCATGATGTTTGCCATATCTACAGTAGGCAGTGGAATAAGTTCTCTGATGGTATGAGGTTTCTTACATTTTGAGATTCTGTAAGTCGTCTTGTAAGATGCTGTTTGATATTGATGCGTTTTTTTCCCAGGTTTTGTAAATTCCTGGCAAAAAAATCACAAGGTTTGCCAACTGTACTGTGGTGATTAGGTTTTAAGTGGCTCTTTAATTTACTTGGAAGCATACACTCTGCCTCAATAACTGTCATACACAGTACACATTGTGGTCTATCTTCACCATTCATTTCTGTTGCTGAAAAATCAAATTCTATATAACCATCCTCATATTTACAATATTTTCATTTCTTCACAGTAATGCCAGTGGTTAAAAACATACTTTAAATCTGCACTATTATGTTTATTACTGTTAAAAAACTGGTCCATCGTCAAAGATAGAAGACCCCCCCCCAAAAAAAAAAATCTTAAAGCTATTTTGCAAAGACAACAAACAAGGAGAAATACAGCACTAACTATACTACATGAACTAATTTATACTATTCTATATATTGTGAAGCACTGAGCTTAATTTTAAAGTGCTGGGTTTCTTGGTACAAGGGAATCATTTATAAAACTGGCAAGTACCACATATTCTTTACTTTGTAAATTGTAAGTTTTTTTTATTTTTTTAGAATGGCAGTTGCTAATCAAATATAGTAGCCATGAAAATTTTTGAATTAAATAATGTATTTATTCCTTCTTGTTATTTTAAAAATATTCCTTTGTGATAGAAAAATTATATACTGTACTTTTTTGTATTTTTATGTAGAAAATTTTTTTTTATAATTATTTTCAAGTGAATCCTGAAGTTTTGAATAAGATGTATCATCAGGTCGAGAAATGGAAATTGGCCAAAATTCCTGGAACTGAAGGATTAGCAAATTTAGTGGTTCATCTGCTTCTTCGTAGTGATGGTGGTTGTCAAGTAATTAGATGTCTACTGAATATTATGCCACCATCGTCCATGTATATTCATGTTGGGGTAATATTTTTAGAAAATTACTGATTGCAATTGATTCAGTTATATAATTTTTTCTGTTCTTTTACAGTTTAAATTAGTTCTATTAGTTTCATGTTACTTTAAAATTAGATTTAAGTTTAAACTTTATATCTGTAATGCATATATAAATAGATCTTCAAACAGCTGGATAATTGAAGATCTATTATATATGCATTACAGATTATCCAACTCATTTTGCTGTTGGATTTTCAAAACATTGAGGTAGTTAAATTGCTGCAAAACTTCAAAAATTATACAGTTAGTAAGAATATTTTTATTTCCATAAAGATAAATAAACTTTGATTTTTTTGAAAAATTTATTTAATGAAACTAATTTTGTTTATCTGAACATGACCTTTATTTCTGTTCCAATAAAAATAAAGCAAAATTTATTTTTATTTATACAGACAAAAGTCTTTAATCTGGACTCGTCGGGACTTCGGCGATTCCTGATTATCAGTTTTTCCGGATTATAGATCGTCAGTTTAAATCTGGTAAGATGGCATTCAGAAATTATAAAATTAAAAATGTGAAACCGTAATTTATGAAATAAAGAGCAATTATGATCTAAAGGGTATCAAAATTTGCAAAAAAAAAAAAAAAAAAAAAAAAAAGCTTTATATTTATTTGTTTACTTTATTAAACATTTCTTTCAATGCGCGCATGCGTAAAGCATACATTACTCATAGTCGAAATTAGAAAATACCAATAAAAAAACTATTTGATGTGGATTCGTGATATTTCTAATGACGAGGAATTTGATTTAAATCGTATCAAAGACGGAGTACATCGAGATGAAATACTACATTTAGTAAGGAATTATAAGCTGAATAAAATAAAAACATCTGCGCTGAAGATAAGGATAGTGCTGACAGATCAGCTTCCAGTTCATTGCGTGCCCCCCCCCTTCCCCGGCGGAGCAGTGTGAAATTGATAAACAGATTTCGGAATGGTTAGAGAAACAAAGGATATGTCTTTATCCATTTTTTTGCAGCAATTCCACTTTTTGTTTGATGGACATGGGAACATGCTTTCGCTTTGTAGATCCTTTGGTAGCTCCAGAATCAGAAATTCTTTTTGACATCATCAAAAGTTCAAGCTTACTTTTATAAAATTACTCTAACAGTCTGCAAAAAATAATAAGCCGGATCCAATTAGAAGATTAAGGAACAAAGCAATCTGCAACATTAACTGAAATAGATAATTAGATCAGTTTAGCTTAGTTTGTACCGTCCGTTATACACATGCATAAATGTATTATGCACATGCGTAAAGGTATTATGCGCATGCAGTAGCGCATTATGCGTTGACGCATGCGCAGAAAATTTGTAGCTTTGAGGTTCGAATTATAGATCATTCCGGATTATGAACACCCGGTTAGGTTAGGTTATTTAATTACGGCAAAGCCTCAAGGGCTATCTGCCTAAGGGGAGGTATGCCTTCGTGGAGGGCTTTCTAAGGGAAACTGGCTCCTATACACGTTACACATGGGGGAAAAACCACGAAAACACCCATGCAGCCAGCCCGTTCGCGGGATTCTACCGAACTACCAGTGTTCAGCGACCTCGGACCGAACTACCAGTGTTCAGCGACTTTACCACTCGGCCGCCTGTGGGCCTATTATGGACGTCCGAATTAAAGACTTTTAACTGTATAAGCACTAACACAAAACTAATTTAATACTTCTGAAATTCTTTTCTTTACTTTTACTATACTAAAAAGGAACAAAGAATTTACTTTTATGCATAAAACAAAATGTATAACCTATTTGAATTTACAAACTTGGAACTCTCTTATAACGAGCGTGAAGGGACCATGATATTTGCTCACTATAACCAAGTGCTTGTAAAAAAATGGGTTTAGGAAAATATCATAAAAATTCACACATACTGTATTATAAATGCTTTATTTTTTATTTCTGTGCAGGTGAAAGGAAGTTGGTTAATATACTTTGAACTCAAAAGCTATTGAGTGTGTTTAGGGCAGTTCAGATTAAAATTCTTCACATTTGTTATTATCAACGCCTTTTTCATTATTTTTTTCATCTGCTTTTGCTTGAATTTCAGCTACAGTAACCTTGGGAGTAGGTATCTTGGAAGTAATTAACATCACTGTCAACATATACAAATTTCCAAATTCTTCTCCACTCATTTCCAAATTTACCAAGATCTCCACTTCCTCTTTAGTGATCTGCCGTCTTGAGAAATGTCCAATTCAGCCTTACAGAAGCAACTGGTAATGCATGTTGATGTAACATTTTCTCATACATAATTCATTTAACTTATTGCTTTGAGTATATGTACATTAGCATTTGAGGTTGTTCCTATTTTTTCTCTTCTATCTTTGATGATTCTATTCTACTTCTGATGATTCCTTAGTCCATTGGCTGGTTAACACATGTAGAATTCGGTGGTAAAAATTCAGTCCTGATCACTCCCAGAGATTGAAAAGGTTGCCGTCATATATGCACAAGGCTTATGACAATTACTAACTTTTGGTTGACTTTAAAATGTTGAAGAAATTTTTCCAAGAAAGGATTAGTTGAGATGGAGAGATCGAAGTCAATAGAAATTTTATGAATCACAATACTATTGCTTACTATAAACTGGAGTTTGCTCCTTAAGAGCGAGTTAATGCTCCCATAGACTTAATATTGTACCAATCAAATATTTTTGATTTTCTTGTTAAATCAGGGCTTGTTATAAGCAAGTAGTACTGTAATTACAGTTCAGCCAATATTAACTTTTATTGACATAAAGTTAAGAAATTAATTATTCCAATCAAATAAAATTGTGGAAGTTAATAAGAAGAGTGTTCATCTAATTAATTCAGTAGCTTTTTAAAATCTCTATATACTCTTATATACATTATTTTTATGCTATTTAAATTGATGAAAAAATTGAAACCACATAAATTAATTTATAGCATGTTTAATTTTACTCAGCCAAAAATTACATCTGCCAATAGGGGTGTTAGTGGATAATCCCCGTTCTTTTCACAAAATTTCATTTATGTATATTTAGTCCAATAATAAATAAGATAAACAACTATTGTAAACAAGGTACTGCTATCTTGAAGCTGGTTTCCAGCCCACATTCTAACACTTTGCTTGCAATTTTTCATATTGCATTTTCATAAATTCGGTGTATAAGAAGTACAACTTCAGAGAAGAAATTTTATCTTTCTGTATTGCTGGGGAACACTCTATATTTCTGAAGAAACACAATGATTTCTTTTTCAGTAGATGAGACACACATTTCTCGGAGGTAATTCCATCAATCAATAGTTGTGTTAGGGGATAATCGCAGTTCTTCTTCATGAAATTTCATTGATGCGTATTTTTTAGTCCAACTATAAGTAAAGAAACAGCTGTTGTAAAGAAGATACTGTTATCTTGAAAGCAGTTTCCGAGCCTGCATTATTTTTCATTTAACATTTTCGTAAAATTTGCAATTTAAGAAGTACAACTTCAGAGTGCAGATTTTATCATTCTGTATTGTCAAGAAAAGTAGTATATTTCTGAAGAAGTGTGATGCTCTCTCTTTTATAGTCCAGTGAATTCCACAGTCGTCTCATTATAAATCATTATGCAAAATTAATTATACTCAAAGCAAAAAGAAATATTAATTGGAAAAATTACAATCGAATCTCAAAAGTACAAATCCACATGCACTCAAACAGATGTGTGCTATATGCATATCTGGATGCCTTTTTGGTGGCATGGTGCATTGCCTCATCAGTACTTTGAGACTTTTGATTGGGATATTGATAATTAGAAAGCAGTAATATTTCTGAAATACTTTTTTTTTTATTTTTCCATGATACAAATAGTCATTTAAATAAAATTTAATATTGATTTAAATAATTAATCTTTCATTTTGAAATATATAGCATATTTACTTGTATATTTTAATTAATCTTTCATTTTGAAATATATAGCACATTTACTTGTATATTTTTGCGCTTTTCGTATCAATTTTATTGCTTGAAACATGGAATGGGAAAAATATGCTATGTATATTATTTCTAAAGAAATGGCTTAAATAATAAATATAGTATGTTGAAAAGCACACGTAAAATTACACTAATATATTACATATTTCAAAGGATTTATCAATTTCAATAATATTCTTTTTACTTGCACAAAATAATTACCTTCTGGTGTGTAAATTGTACATTTCGCCATAAAGGAGTAGTTCCTAAATTATATGCTGAAAAAAAGTAGGGAAAAATATGCAAGCAAATATAATATTTTCTTATAAATAATGAAATGGTCAAAAGAGAAGTTGATTTAGAAAATAGAGATGACTTCAGGCTAATTGAATCAATATATTTTTCCATACTTTTTTTAGTTTACTCCTTTTCTTATATGAATGCATAATTGATATGTTTTGTCAAAAATCTTACTGTGTAGCTTAATATTGTTAAAATGTTATTAAAAAAAATTTAATTGTTTTTTATTTTTAAGCACTTGATGAGTTCTTAGTTTTCTGTTGATTTACTTTTTATTCAGTTTAAAAGTACTAAAAATTCACAGTTGCTTTAGACAAAATGCTTTTTTTTTCTTCTTTGATTATGGAATTAAAAATGTCTTCTTGCAAAAAAATCACTGCATTACGAATTATGTTGCACACTTTACATTATTTTGTTCTATCACAAGGAGAATTAACCTTAATTTCTGCTTTACTATTACATATGGAGAATGTTGAAATACTGCTTTCCTTAAATTCTGAGATTCTAAAAAATATGCATTTATTAAGTAATTATGATAGCATCAGTTTTGTGTTTTGGTGAATTATGGTTATAAACATTTTAAAATAAGGACAATTATATTAAATTTTTGATAATTCACAGTTTGTATGTACACTTTAAGTGAAGTTTATTAATTCAATTCAGTTGAATTAATTGTTTTAATTTTGTTACATAAATTGAGACTTAGTTTCACTCTTTAAAGAAAAATTCATTTTTAGTGTAAACTGAAT